TGAAGACGTAGAGACTGATTAGCCAAAGAATGACAATGGTTCAGTTAGGGCAGGATGTAGTTTTTGGTAGAACCCTAGGCTCAGCTCTCTTTTGTAATACTTGATTAAATGTTTTGTACCAGATTTTAATCTCTCTACTGTCTGGTAGTATCTCATTCACATAAGGGAATGCTCTACAATTTTATATTACTCATTTGTAGCCTAGATGGTTTACTTCCAAAGAGTCAGCACGTTCTCAGTCTGCCCCATTATTTTTCTCACCTGAAGCCATTACTACCCTTAGACAGAAAAAGAAAAAGTTAAGTATGCAGGAAAATAAAAAGATGAGATTGTTCTCTCCAGATTTGGGGGTTTTGGTGATATTGTCAGAATTTTAGGGAATCTTATTTTTCACTTATTGGCTGGCCTCCAGTTTTGTGTAATGCATTGTTATCTGATCTCATCTTTAAATTTAAAAAAAATCTTTTTTTTTATTTTAAAGGTTTTAGTTTAAAATTTTTGGAGGGTCCACTTGCTGCTTGTTTAAGCCACACTTTTCTGTTTTGTAAAAATATAAATGGAATTTTCCCCACAAGATTGTTTTAAAGGTTAAATGAGGTAATATTTGTGAATCTGCTTTGTAAACTATGAAGTGCTACAATTCTGATGATTTTTATTGTTAATTATAAAAAACTAATGCAGTTGAGAGTGAAGTAGGTTGTCTTGACCCATGTCTTTGCATAATAATATCCAGTATTGGCTATTTTTTTTTCCTTGTTTTTTCTCCTTGTATAGAATTTTTAAACAAAACTCATTATATTAATCATTTTTCTGAGTATCTAGTTATTTGAGAACATGCTTATTTTAATGGCTTCTAATATTCCATCATATGGCTGTATAAAAATTGTTTCAGCCATCTTTCTGTTGTTGGACATTCAGGTTGTTTTCAATTTTTTCCCATTGTAAATAGTAGTTTAGTGTATTGTATTTAAACCGTTTTAAAAATAATCCTTCATATGTTTACACTCCCTCTAGTTGTATATGTAAATACTCATTTTCCTATTACTTGGGCAACACTCTGTCTTATTAAAAACAAAATCCAACAACTTTGATTACTAGGTAAGAGGAAAACACTACTTCGTTTTAATTCTTTAATATTTGGCTTGCATGTTTTTTTGTTGTTGTTTAGTAGCTCGTTTCTTTTGTGAATTTCCCAGTCATGTCCTGTGTATGTTATTCTTATTTATTTAAAAAAAATACGTAGTATTAAAATATAGAACATATTAACCTTGTTTCCTAGTTTGTGTTTTGCTTTTCAGTTTTTTTATTTTATTTTATTTTATTTTTTTATTGACGTAGAGGTGTTTAACTTTGTATAGCTAAATCTGCCTTTTTCCTTTCTGATGCTTTACTTTGTTTTTGTGCTTAGAAAAGTCTCCTTTTTAAAGTCAGATAAAGTTTTTTTTATATATTTTCTTCCATCCTTTTAGATTATTTTAATTTTTATATAACTCTTTGAATCTATCTGGATTTTGTTTTATTTTGTCTGAGATATAGTAACCTACTTTTCCCCAAATTATTAACAGGTTTTTCTAGTACCATTAGTAAATAATTTTAGTCTTTGCTGATTTGGAATCCCTTCCTTAACTAGTTGCTGTTGAGTTGATCCCGACTCATGGCGACCCAATGTGTGTCAGAGTAGAATTGTGCTCCATTGAGTTTTCAGTGGTTGATTTTTCAGAGTAGATTGCCAGGTCTTTCTTCTGAGGTGTCTCTGGGTGGACTCGAACCACCAACCTTTTAGTTAACAGCTGAGTGAGTTAACCCTTAGCAAAACCCAGTGACTTCAAATATTCATGTATAGTTGAGTCTTTTCCTGCACTTTCCTTTTTTTCTATTAATCTAATAAAATAGCTTTTTTATGCAAATAATGCATACCTTTTGTGTTTGTTTCCTGGCCATGTGTCATGCCCTCCTCCCCCCCATCACATGCTCAGCCATGCTAGTACTCTTCCACATGTTACTGTTAAAAAAGAAACTAGCATGGAGTGCTTGTGAAAATACCTCCTGGAGGAAGGGTGCAGCTGGCAAACAAATGCAGAAGGCACATGTTATTTGCATAAAAATGCAGTAAGCCCATTTCCTTAAGTAGTGAAAGTCATTTGCCTGCTTTAATTCACATTTTATAGTCTGTTTTTACAAAATAACCTATGTGTTACAGTGAACATTACAATCCTAATTCAGGGTATCCTTTTATTTTTTTTTAAATTGTGGTAAATATATAAATAACAAAACATTTGCCATTTCAGCATTTTTCAGGTGTACAATTCAGTGACATTAATAACGTTCATCATATTGTGCAACCATCACCACAATTTGTTTCCAAATTTTTTCATAACCCTTAAGAGAAATGGATACATTTCTTAATGTATGGCAGAGGACTGGAATTCTGTGTTATTCTATCATTTGTTGGTATGATTTTGATATATCTGTATACACATTTTCTTTCATGTATATGTATATTCTTTGCCTTTTACTCTCGTGTGCTTTCTAAGTTATAAGGGGTTGTTTGTTTATATTTTTTGTTATTTGTACTCACTATAAATTATGCCAGGTCTTGTACCCTAGAAAAATATAGTAGGGGAAACAGAACATAGATAGTAAAGAAGGATAAAAAGCCTCTTTTATTATCTTATTGGTAGAAAAATACTGATACGGTATTTATAGGCCGGGATTATTTGAACCCCATATTTATAAATTAAATTGTGTAATTTGTTAGTTTGATGTGTACAAAAAAAATCTGATGTGTATTACACTTTAATTTGTACTGTTTTCTGTATGTAAAAATTACATCTGATGACCCCGTTGTGTATTCTAGTGTACTCTGTTATCTACTATTGCATGATAAACCACCCCACAACTTAGTGGCTTATAACATGCTCAGCAGGGACAGTTCATCTATGGTCCACATGGTGTCAGTGGGCTTTACTCATGAAGCTACATTAAGCTGGTGGTTGGGCTGGGTGATCCAAAATGGTCTTATTCACATGTCTGTGTCTAGGCTGTCAACTGGGACATCTTCAGTTCTACTGTGTATGTCCTCATTCTCCAGGAAATGAGGCCTCTCTATCACGAAAACCAAAAAACCAAACCCGTTGCCGTCGAGTTGATCCTGACTCATAGCGATCTTATGGACAGAGTAGAACTGCCCCATAGGGTTTCCAAGGAGTGGCTGGTGGATTTGAACTGCCGACATTTTGGTTAGCAGCCTTAGCACGCTGTAGCTCTTAACCACTGTAGGCTCCCTTTATCAGGAAAGCATGGACTGATTCTTTACACATAGGCTGGGATCCAAGATGGCAAACTTAGAAGCTGTACAACAATTCTTAAAAGCTCTAGGCCCCTGAAATTGCACACCATTACTTCTGCTCCATCTTGTTGGTCAAAACAAGTCATAAGGTTAACCACGTTTCAAGGGAATGGAGAATAGGGCTCCATCTTATGATGGAAGAAGCAGTGACATCCCATTGCAAAGAGTGATGAATATACCAAGGCTTGATTCCTTGGAAACACTGGTGGTGTAGTGGTTAAGTGCTACAGCTGCAAACCAAAAGGTCTGCTGTTTGAATCCACCGTGTACTCCTTGGAAGCTCTCTGGGGCAGTTCTGCTCTGTCCTATAGGGTTGCTATGAGTTGGAATCGACCTGACGGCAGTGGGTTTGGTTTTTTTTTTTTTTTGGTTGATTCCTTAGAGGTCATTATATTATGATCTACCACAATTAAAATAACTTTAGGATAGAAAAGTTTGCTGAAAGGTCTGAATAAAAACCATGTGTTCGTTTTCATTTTCTGTTGGTAAAGTGTTAACATTGCTGTCAGAAAATGCCTCATATACTTAGATTGGGAATTAAAGTGGCAGTACTGGGGTATTACAGTAAAACATCTGTCTTTAATTTTTATGTACCTATTCAGTTGGTATGTAATCAGTTTCTTTTAGGGCAGGGGCAGAGCAGTGGTATTAATCTTAAAGCTCTCTAATCCCTTCTCGCATGCCTTCAACAGATAAGTGCTCTGAATAGTTAAGTACCATGAGAAATAAGTAAGTTGGGCTAACTCTTTAAATATTACTAAACTTCCCACCCAACACTGATTCTTAAGCTATTGATCCAAACAATTGAGAACATTTTGGTTAAAATTCTTTGAGGTTAAATAAAGTTGGGCTCCTATTTAATATGATTTCTTATTTAAATGAAAATTCCTTTTTATATTCAGCTAATCAATTTTAGCACTTCATAGCACAGCAGCACACTTTGACTTTGGCTGCATTTTTTTTTAGAGATAACCAGTTCATCCATTTTCTGAGTAAATCTAGGATTTCTCGCCTAAGTTTCTGTTCACTGGTCTGTAGTTTCTGGACTGGAGAATTCAGTGCATGATGGTGCAGGATATGCCACTCTTCAAATGTGATAATGCTGAAATGTGCCATGAAAACTTTAAAGTGCTGTTTTAAAAATTTACACAAAATTATTTGGTATTTTCAACATGAAAATGTGTGTATTTTATTAAATATAAACATAGTAAATATTCCACAGGCTTCAGATGTTTATTGGTATCTTTCTGGATTGATGAGGGATAAAGGAGCTGAAATTATTTTAAAAGTAACTATTTGTAGCCCTGGTGGCACAGTGGTTAAGAACTCAGGCTGCTAACCAAAAGGTTGGCAGTTTGAATCCCCCAGCCGCTCCTTGGAAACCCGATGAGCCAGTTCTGCTCTGTCCTATATGGTTGCTATGAGTTGGAATCGACTCGATGGAAAACACGTTTGTTTTTGGGTTTTACACTAGTATTGTCTGTATGTAAAATAACTTAATGATCAGAGGCAGTTATTTTATACTTAAGTTTTTACAGAAGTATTCCTTAACATTTTAAATTACTGAACATAGTTATTACAGAATCTCATCTTTATTGCATATATAGTATGATTTAAATTGAAATTGGATTTTGCTTCTATTCATTTTTAGAAATACAAAGAAAAGGACAAACATAAACAAAAACACAAGAAGCAACCTGAGCCATCACCTGCATTAGTTCCATCCTTGACTGTTACTACAGAAAAAGTAAGTTTGAAGTGTCATATTGTGTTGTATGTAACAACTAGTTATTTGGTGATTGCTATACTTTACCTCAAAGAAGTATTTTCATTCCTGGTGTCCTGATTCCATCTAACTTTTCTCACTTCTCCAACTCTACATCAAGCACTTAGAATTCTCACTTGTTAGTCATTTATCCTACCTTCTGTTTATTCTGCGCTCATCTTTAAAGAATCTTATGTGAGGATAAGAGTGGGGAGATATCATTGAGATTAAGAACTTGAGCTATGGAATGGGCTTTGTCCATCGTGATTTTGAATTTTGGCTTCACTACTTTCTGAGTTCTTAGGTTAATTAACCTCCCTGTAACTAAATGTAATTAAATGTAAAGTGAGGAAAATTATTGGAATTGAGTGAGATAATATGTGTAAAGCAATTAGAGCAGTATCTGGTTCATAGTATTACTTGAATCCTAGTAGGATCATTATGCAGTAAATTGAAAATGAATAGCGGGTACAGGGCTAGTTTAGAAATGATAGTCTCAGGTAGCAGTAATAAAATTTTATTTTGAAAACAGTAAATTACTTGGTCTCTACAGCCAAATTACATGGAAAAACAGACTTTTCTGTGCAGATATACTTTGACAACACGGGTCAGCACCCAACCCATTAAAACAAAACCCGTTGCTGTCAAGTCGATTCTGACTTTTAGTGATCATAGGACAGGGTAGAACTGTCTCATAGGATTTCCAAGTCTGTAATGTTTACAGAAGCAGACTGCTATATGTTTCTCCTGTGGCGTGGCTGGTGGGTTCCAACTACTGACCTTTCAGTTACCAGCACAGTGCTTAACCACTGCACAGCCAGGGCTTCTTATCACATACCCAGATGGACTTAAAAGAAAACTCTAGTTAAGAGTAATGCTATAGAAATTTAGACAAGTTTAATATTACCCGTCTGTCAGTATGTCATGCTGTGGTGGCTTATGTACTTCCAGTTGTTTTATACTGGAAGCTATGCCACTAGTATTTTAAATACCAGCAGGGTCACCCATGGTGGACAGTTTTCAGCAGGGCTTCCAGGCTGAGACAAACAAGGAAGAAAGGCCTGGTGATGTACTTCTGAAAATTTGCCAGTGAAAACCCCATGGATCACAATAGAATATTGACCGACATAATGCTGGAAGATGAGCCACCTAGGTTGGAAGACACTCAAAATACACAGTGGCCTCAACAATGGACTCAAGCATGCCAACAATTATGAAGATGGTGCAGGACCAGGCAATATTTTTGTTCTGTTGTACATGGGGTTACCATGAGTCGGAGCAGACTTGATGGCAACTATCAACAACATTATTATAGAGGTATTGTGTTTGGAAAATCACATTAAAATCATCTTCATTCTTGCATTTATTTAGCAAATGTATTTTTAAGTGGCTGTTACGTGCTAGTCACTGCTCTAGTAATGATATATTAGGGGACAAAACAGTAATTTATGCCCTTGTGGAGAGCCACTTCTACTTGGGAGTGTCATACAAAAAAACACAGTAAGTAAATTATGTAATATATCAGATGGTAGAAAGTGCTATGGAAAAAATAAGTAGAACAGAGTAAGAAGGATCCAAGGTGCCAGAGCGGGAGTGAGAAGTGGTTTGTAATTTTCAGTAGGGTGATCAGTATTAGCCTGACCAAAAAGGTGATTCTTAGGAAGGGACCCAAGTCGGGGGTGGGGGGGGTTGGATCACTTTATTATTTCATTTTTTAATTGTTATAGTTTAAATGAAGTTTACATTTCAAGTTAGTCTCCCATACAAAAATTTATACATACATTGTTATGTGACCCTAGTTGCTCTCCCCATGCTGTGACAGCACACTCCTCCTTTCCAACTGATTCCCCATGTCCATTCAGCCAGCTCCTAACCCTCTCTGCCTTCCCATCTCACCTCCGGACAGAAGCTGCCCCTTTGGTCTCTCGTATCTACTTGAGCTAAGAGGCACACTCCTCATAAGTATCACTTTATGCCCCACAGTCCAGTCTAATCCCTGTCTGAAGGGTTGGCCTCGGAAATTGTTTTAGTCCTGGGCTGATAGAGAATACCGGGGCCATGCTTTCCAGGGTTCCTGCAGTCGCAGCCAGACCATTAAGTCTGGTCTTACTAGAATTTGAGTTCTACACTCCACCTTTCTCCTATTCCATCAGGGACGCTCTGTTGTGTTCCCTGTCAGGGCCCTCATTGGTGGTAGCTGGGCACCATCTAGTTCTTCTCATCTCGGGCTGATGAAGTCTCTGGTTTATGTGGCCCCTTCTGTCTCTTGGGCTAATACTTTTCTTGTGTCTTTGGTGTTCTTCATTCTGGGGTTGTGTTACTTACAAGATTATGTAGTTAAACAGCTTTTCGAACATAAGCAATAGCTTGTGCAGTGGTCCTAAGGTTGGAAGAATGCCTAGTGTGTTCTTATAACAGCAGGGAGGCCAGAGTCACTGGGACAGAGTTAGCAATGGGGAGTGTAATAGGAGATGTGGTTAAGGTGAGGTGCCAATGTATAAGCCAGTGTAAAAACTTTATTTTTTCGTTTGTGTGAAATGTGAGCTATTAGGGGGTTCTGAACTGAGATGTAACTCAGTCTAACTTGGAGTTTGAAAGGACCCCTGGCTACTTTGTTGTGAATAGATTGTAAAGAATCAAGGGTAGAAGCGGGGAGGTCATTAGGAAGTTACTGCAATAATCCAGAGAGAGGTTATGGCAATAGTGGAGGTGGTGAGAGGTGATCAGATTTTTGAGTCCACATGATGTTCTTATAGATAAAATGAGAGGTGTAATGGAAAGAGAGGATCCAAAAATGATTCCAAGGTTTTTGGTCTAGATAACTGGAAGGAATGGAGTTGCTGTTACGAAGATGGGAAAGACTATGGGTATATAGTTTGAAGGGGAAGATCAGGAATTTAGTTTTGGATATTCTATCAGTTTTCTATTGCTGCCAGAACAAATTACCAGAAATTTGGTAGTTTAAAACAACACACATTTATTATCTCATCATTCTGTAGGCCTGAACTCTGGGTGAGCTCAGCTGGTTCCTGTGCTGCAGGTCTTTCAAGGTCATTAACAAAAATTTTCTAGGTCTATAGATGAAATCTTTAAAAAGTAGTGAGGAGTTACTCTTCATTGGGGATAGAGTTTCTGTTTGGAGTGATGAAAATTTTTGGAAATGGTGGTGATGGTTGCACAACATTGTGAATATAGTTAATGCTCCTGAATTGTACACTTAAAAATGGTTAGAATGGCAAATTTTTTGGTATATGTATTTTACCATCAAAAGAAAAAAATCTCTAAAAAGTAAGATGGGAGTAATGTTGGAGAGGGACAGTAACCTTAGTAACCTAAAGCCCTAAGGCAAAAGTCAGCACAAACTTTTTCCCTCAGGGGTCAGACAGTAAATATTTTAGGCTTTGTGGGCTATACTGACTTCTAGTATTCAACTCTGCTGTTGTAGCACAGATTCTATTCGATGGCGACAGGTCTTTTTTTTTTTTTTTTTTTTGGTTGTAGCACAGAAATAGCCTTAGACAATACATAAACAAATGGGTGTGGCTGTGTTTCCATAAAACTATTTATGAACACAGAAACTTGAATTTCATATAATTTTTGTGTGTCATGAAATATTCTTTTGATTTTTTTCATCCATTTAAAAATATAGAAATTATTCTTAGTTCTAGGTCTGTACAAAAATAGGCAGATACTGCCAGAAAGAATGGTAATTACAGTAACAATGAAAATTGTTGTCGTGTTGTTAAGTGCCCTCGGATCAGTTCCAACCAAGTATGAACCCTGTGTACAACAGAACTTAACACTGCCTGGTCCTGTGTCATCCTCACAATCGTTGCTATGTTTGAGCCCATTGTTGGAGCCACTGTGTCAATCCATCTTGTTGAGGGTCTTCCCCTTTTTCCCTGACCCTCTACTTTACGAAGCATGACGTACTTCTCCAGGGACTGGTTCCCCCGATAACATGTCCAAAGTACGTGAGATGAAGTCTTGCCATCCTTGTTTCTAAGGAACATTCTGGCTGTACTTCTTTCAAGAGAAGTTTGTTCATTCTGGCAGTCTGTGGTATATTCAGTATTCTTCACCAACACTATAATTCAAATGCATCATTTCTTCTTTGATCTTCTGTATTCATTGTCTAGCTTTCATATGCATATCAAACGATGGAAAATAGGATCAGGTGCACCTTAGTCCTCAAAGTAACAGCTTTGCTTCTTAAGACTTTGAGAGGACTTTTGCAGCAGATTTGCTCAGTGCAGTATGTCGTTTGGTTTCTTGACTACTGCTTCCATGGGCGTTGATTGTGGATCTAAGTAAAATGAAATTCTTGACAACTTCAGGATTTTCTTTGTTTATGATGATGTTGCTATTGCTTTAGTTGTGAGTGTTTTTGTTTTCTTTATGTTGAGATATAATCCATACTGAAGGCTGTAGTCTTTGATCTTCATCAGTAAGTGCTTCAAGTCATCTTCACTTAGCAAGCAGGATTGTGTCATCTACATAACGCAAGTTGTTAATGAGGCTTCTTCCAATCCTGATGCCGCGTTCTTTTTCTTATAGTCCAGCTTCTTGGATTATTTGCTTAGCATACAGATTCAGTAGGAGCCCTGGTGGTGCAGTGGTTAAGCATTCAGCTGCTAACCAGAAGGTCGGCAGTTTGAATCCACCAGCCGCACCTTGGAAACCCTATGGGGCAGTTCTACTCTGTCCTATAAGGTTACTGTGAGTCGGAATCAACTCTATGACAGTGGGTTTTATACTAATTGAATAAGTATGGTAAAACAACAACAATGAAACTTAGTAGGTGATAAGGTCTGGAGACATAATATTCATACCTGGAGGCTTTTAGAGAGAGAGTGGTTTGAAATCAGAATTAAAAAGCAAGGAACCCTATCCCACCTCCATACCCAGTGGTACAAGACCTATGGGAGTAAACTCGTTGCTGTAAATCTTTATTAAAGCAGACTGCCACATTTTTCTCCAAT